TGATATGAGTCTAAAACCCTGTTATAGGAGAGATACTGGGAAATAAGATGATCAGTACTACACAGATAACCCCAACGGGGGATGTTGATCCCGAGGAGGGTTGCGACGAGGAAGGAAAGGAGATGTATGTAAAGGGAAAGAATTACCTAACCCGAGATTCGGAGAGGTGGCAGGAGGGGGCTGAGCATGAGGATGGCAATAGTATACCTGCAATGGGGGGAAAGGAGGCGAAGGTGGAGGATGAGAAAGGGGGGCAACCCTATCTGCAACCTCGTCCAAAATGGGAATTGGGCGGACACTCGAAGTATCTGAAGGTGAAACCTGTAACAGGGGGTTAGGACTAAAAAAAGGAAGATCATCACAAAAAATAACATCTAGAGTGTGGTGAAAGTGACGAGACACAGGATCAACACATCTATATCCTTTAGACATGGAAGAATACCCCAAAAAACACAACGAATAGACTTGTCATCTAACTTAGCGCGAGTGGGACGCCGGTCTTGAACAAAACATGTACATCCAAAAACATGAGGTAAAACAGGAAAAAAGGTAGTATTAGGCATAAGAATATGGAATGGGGTAAGGCCATGTAACACACGACTAGGAATCATATTAATGAGATAGACAACAATAAGAACAGCCATGTGCCAATAAGACTTGGGCACACGCATACCATGAAGAAGACAACGTACGACAGACATAATATGACGGTTTTTACGTTCAGCTACACCATTTTGTTCAGGGGTCCAAGGACATGTTAGTTGTTGAAGAATACCCGTTCAATTAAGGTGGGAACGAAACTCATAGGAGATGTATTCCCCACCATTATCAGAGCGAATGTTTCTAACAACTGTACAAAATTGTGTCTTAACTATTTGCAAAAACTAAACGAAGATAGGAAACACATCAAACTTGTGGCGAAGTAAATAGACCCAAGTGTACCTAGTGTGATCATCAATAAAAGTAACATAATAATGATGACCCCGAAAAAGCAGGAACAAGAGAGGGACCCCAAACATCAGAATGAATAAGGTTAAAGGCACTAGGGACCCATGTCATATGTGGTATATAACTAGTACAGATATGTTTAGACAACTCACAAGTAACACAATGAAATTTAGAATCCTTGCAAGCTTTATTTAATAAAAGGAAAAGTTGACATAAATACTGCAAGTTAACATGACCCATACGGGCGTGCCATAACTCTAAAGTTTGAATAGAAAAAACACAAGATATAGAATGAGGCAAAACAGATGCCTAAAAACTGGCTAAAGTCAAAGAAGGCTGGTCCAGTGGATCCCCAAAAGTAGTATAGCCAGGCGCGCTCATATCCCCTGCCAAAAATCCTCTTCGAACTCAAGTCTTGTAAAAGACACGAAGAAGGTAAGAAAATGACAGCACAATTAAAGGTTTTGGCAAGACGTCCAACAGATAAGAGATTATAAGCAAACTTGGGAACATGCAACACAGAAGATAAAGTGATATCAGGGAATAACACAGAAGATAAAGTGATGTCAGGGAATAAAGACACAACACCCTTATGTTGGATAGAAGAGCAAGAACCATCAGCAAGACGCACAAATTGGGTAGCAGTGGTGGGTTCAGGAGAGGAAAGAAAAGAAAACTCACCAGTCATATGATCATTAACCCTAGAATCCAAAATCTATGAAGGACTAGGAGACCGAACATGGAAAGTAGTAGAAGTACTTGTAGCTAGGGTGGCAATAGAGGATGATAGACCGAGAGAACCAACGGTGAGGGACCCAAGTTAAGCCTAAAGCTGACCAATCTAAGTCTATAACTGCTGTAGATTAGGGACATTAGGAGGCTCAGAAGCAGGAGTAACTTCCACTAACACAGCAGTGCGAGCAAAGCCAGAACCATGTGGAGCAAGACCACGAGGACGGGAAGGGCGTTGCCTCAACTCAGGATGAAGTTTGAAGCAACGGGCTTTGATATGTTTAGGCGCACCACAATGATGACAAGTAACAGAATCGGTGAAACTCTGAGAACCAGAACTCGCAACAAGAACCATCCGATCTGCTAAAACTGGAGGGACTGAAGGAACACTAGGCTGAACCAATCGCCGGTGACGCTCATCACTGTCAATAGTGGCAAAAGCCTCATAAAGAGATGGCATGGGTGATATGTTTTGAATTTGAATTTGAAGAGATTCAAATTCAGAGTTTAAATCCATGAGAAACTGATAAGTGTGCTGTCGGGCAAGCCCCTTAGACACAAGGGAGGTGGCTTCTGGTGGAAGGTCAGTCAAAAGCTTATATTGAGCAAGTTCCTTCCAACGAGCTTGAAGATATCCAAAGAATTCAACAACAAAAAAGCCAAGAGATGACTGAGATGCATGAGCTATATCCTGGTAAAGCTCGAAGATACATGCATCATTGTGAGCATGAGCCTACATCTGTGACAATGCCTGCCACAAACTCAGAACTGTATCGCAATAAAGGAACATATGATAAATCCGATCTTCCATGGAATTGAATATCCATCCCAATATAGTACAGGTATCAATATCCCACTGAACACGTGCAGGGTCTGTTGCAGCTGGCGGGGTAATAGCAGATAAAAGCCAATGAGCCTTTCTTTTTCCCCCAAGACAAAGTTTAAGGGAACGGCTCCAAGCAGCAAAATTTTTCCCATTCAGTACCACACTCGTAATTCGATGAATAGGAGTGTGATGGGAAAGAGAAAAATCAGCCCTCGGAACAGGCACAGGTTTGGTGGAGATCATAGTAGAAACCTCAGTAGGAATGGTATAAGATGAGTTATCCATGGGGAGATGATGAGGGCTGAAATAGACAGCAATACACAATATGGTTTGAGTAAACAACCAGAAAAGCCAGAAAAAACTCAACGGGCTAAATACTATTGAATAAAGATAGCCCACAAAAAGAAAAGGCAAAAAGAGCTCCAAAAAAGTGCTTAAAGCATCAGCACTATACCCTGGAAAAGAGAGAAAAAGGGTTCAGACCACCCTAAAGAGGATGTTGAAGTACTCTAGGCCAGGATAAGACCTGGTCGGTAGCAATAAGGCCCTCGGTAGGTGTGATACAGTCCTGCCGAGGGGTATAGGAGGGTGGGTAAGTGGTTTCGGGTTGTCTAGAGGGAAGAGGAGGTCTGTCGGCTATTGGAAGAAGAAGAAAGAAGATGAAGAAATTGTTAGGCAATGAAGAACAAGAGCCAACAGGGAGGAGGGGGTTGTCTAGGGTTTTTGTGTTTTGGCTTTGATACCAAAAAGAATGAAAAGAATTGTTTTGACTTACCTATGAATGAAGTAGAACCTTGTATTTATAATGAAACAATATTACAAGATAGGAAACGAAAATAAATATAAAAAAGGCATTAAATCTACGATTGACATAATCGCAGATTTTATACACACTACCATAATTACAATATCACTATTTCCTAATTCCAATACTACCATAATTATAATATCACTATTTCCTAGTTCCAACAAACCCTAGAATCCATTCATGCCTAAACCCACCACAATTCCTAATGTAGGCAGCCTTTTGCCTAGTTCCCTAATCTTCCCTAATACAACCATAATACAGCATAAATGTTGCCTATGCTTCACTCTCTGAAAATCATAATGCCAAACTCTTCAACTGCTAATACATTGTAGTTGTTCCCCTGGAGTAATTCATGTGCCAAAATTTATTCCCGAGCATATCAAGTTTATTGGGTCAGGAAAGGGGGCATTTTGCACACAGCTCAACTTCCCTAAATGCTGCTACTGTGAGTTTCAGAACAACAAACACCCCAAAAAAATGTTGCTAGCTTGCCACATACGTATTACATAAGCCAACATCTATCCTGTCGTCGCAGTTACAAACATGTGTCAAAAGAACTATGCAAAGACCTTAAAGTGTGTTATTTTTTGCTATCACTGGAATTGCACTTGTTGCAATCAATGGTGGGTCACTATTCCATAACCGTTATTTTTCTGAAAAGCATCAGTGATATGCTGTTAGCATTATTTTAACATCACTGGAATTGCTTTTTAAATGTTTGAACACCAAACAAGTGACAAATATGAATACGTTTTTTTCAATAGAGAAAGGAGATTAGACCCTCGCATCCACCCAGTAGCACAACCAAGAAACTAAATCAGATGGGACACTTATTAATTATAATTTCATTTTTTTTTTCATAACCAACAATATTTTTGAATTAATATTAAGTATAAAAACTTAAATAACTTATTACAAAAGTATTTCACATGAAATTTTACAATTAATTTTGAATAAAGTCGAAAAGAAAGTATTATGTATAACTAGTGTATTATGGACAATGTAAAAAAGTCATATATTTAAGTTTTAAAATAAATTATATAATGGTAAGATAAATTAAATTTTTATAAAATTTGAATAAAAATTTCATATAATAGTGATATCACGTCATCATTGACATATGATATCACCAACTAATAGTAAAGCAACATATGAAAGTGAACTCCACAAGCAAATATAACTAACACTCTAGTAAATTTTACATATATATAGTTAGATTAATTATATTTGCATATCAATAATGATGAATATTATCTTTACATTGAGTTTTTTTTTCACAAAATTTTTAAACATAAATATATGATTTATTGTGGTCCCTTTATTTTCAATAAAACAATCAACTATTGTTCTCATAAATTAAAAAATGCCCTCGACATTTTATTCTAAATATTATTCTTGTTTAAAAATTTATTTATATACATATGTTAAAAAAAAATAAAATCCAAAACCTAAGGGGGCACATGACCACCCTGGTCACCCTGTGCCTCCGCCACTGATCCACCTCATATTTTCCAATATGAATGACACGTTAGAAAAGAACTGAATTAATCAGAATAGCCAAAAACACTAGAGGTAGAAACCAATGATTAATCTGTTACAGTTAAGATGTTCAACTCAGATGCTATAGCAAATATGATATACCTCCAGACCAAAAGAAATAACATGAAATTGTAAAATAAGACTGACCGCTATGACTTCATCAACCACATCTTGATTCAAATTTCTGGGAATGAAACCTGCTCCAATTCCTTGAATGTTGTGAGGACCTGCACTTCCACATGGTAACAAACACAACAACATGCAAAACATTATTTTAAAACAAAGCTAAAAAGGTCTATCTGCTGACTTACCAGGCTTCCCACCAGAAAGAATGTTGCTTTCTAAAGGTTCCACGCCAATAACCTTATGTCAAATGAAGACAATTGAGAAAATGGAAAAGAACACATGAAAAAATAAGCTTCGTTTGAAAACATTTTTCCATTACAAAATTAGTTTTCCGTATTCACAAGAGAATGAATATGGAGAAGAAAAAAAAAATCATATCTAGGCTTGGCCAGTTTAAAATAAAAATAAAAATTACCTTTATGCTTGGCTTCCTCTCTTTAAGGAACCGACCGACCCCAGAAATAGTTCCACCACTTCCAATCCCTGCAATAAAAATGTCCACCTTGCCTCTTGTATCTTCCCAGATCTCTGGACCAGTTGTCTCATAGTGAATCTGCCAAAAAAGGGAAAAAAGAAGAAGATAAAGAAAAAAAAAAAAAAAAAAAGTTATATGAACACTGCAAAAAAAAAAAAAAAAAAAAAAAAAAGTTATATGAACACTGCAGTGATCTCTTATCTTGTAAGTAATACTAATTGGAATGGAACAAAACCACTGCCCCATCCATGATAAATAGCACCATACTATCTAACATGAACTCACCAGTCCAGTTAGATTATCTGTTTGCCAAAAAATTACCCTGACTAGTTAGTTGGCTCTGACCATCTGACCCATAAATATGTTTTTGCAAGAATGTCCTGCCAATTTAATCGGGAGAACCTCAGATTGCATATTCAAATATCTAAGCACCTGATCAACAAAGTAAGAAGTATCTATTCTATATATTAAGCGAGAGGTTGTACAAACAGACGTCTTACGTGCTCTTCCCTCTTTTTTCTTCCCTAAACAGGTTACATGTGGTCACCTCTATGTTGGATCGAAGGCCATGAGGGACAGAGCTTGAGAGTGACACAGAAGAAAACTCAGGGAGTGGGCATTACATGGGGCAGACTGGGGTGGGTGGTAAAATTTGTAGTCCGATATTTTAAGCAAGAAAGAAAAAGGGATATAAAGATCATGGGATTATCTGGATACACATCAATTCCCTTTCCATTCTAATCGAACAAAATATGAACAAACATAGCGTTTGCTGGCAATAAAAAGTGAGAGTGGGGAAAGCTAAAATATTGAAGAAAAAATAGAATGAGTGTATGTGAAAAAATTAAGAATGAAAGGAGAGAAAGACATGTACCAATTTCTCTGTCTATTTCAGTTTTATTTTTATTTTATTTTATTTTATTTTTGCGACTTCTTAATGTGACATATATTATTCAAGGATTATAACGGTTCAGATGTTCTATTAAAAGAGTTTATAATTTCGTAGTTTTTCATCATGAAAAATATTTTGAGCAAAAAACTTTGAATAAGAGTCCAAAACTCACTCTTTTCCTTTTCAAGCATCATCCCAAAGCTCTTATAACTTATTTTTCTATGGTCGTACCTAGTGCACAAGCCTCCCACTTACAACAGCATCTGGGAGAGGAGAGGTAGCAGGTAATGAGGCTTACCCACTTTTTTTGTGTAGAGGCTAGGTTCAATGACTTGAACCCGTGCCACAACGCTAGGGAAGATAGCACTTTCCATCAAAAAAAATATTTACTAAATTTAATTACATAGCTAAATTAAAAATAAAACATATTTTAGGTCTAGAACTTTTATTTTTATTTTTCGCACCACATATTGCATAGGCTTACTGTTAGTGTCGGATAATTTTAGAATCTATACACCCAGATGGCATACTATAATCTCTTTAACGAGGTGCCACAGAAAATCAAGTCTTCCATAAAGGATATGATAACAAATGTTGCATATATACCTTACTAAATATAGCCTTCTAGGGGAGGCTCTCAACTATTGCCCAAGTTCTACATATCATGCTATAATGTTGTTTAAAGGCCCACATTTTGTATCAGAGACACAAGTGAGACACTTTTATTTAATTCTATCGAATACCATTTCAAACCGGAATTACAAAAATATTGAAATGATCCTGTCAGACCCAGGTTGAGAAATCTCAGAGGCAGCAGCTCTGATGTATGTAGGCAACTAGTCATGCCTATCTTTGGTAAATTATGTGAAACCTGGACATGACTCATGTCCACAGGGATACAACAGAGAACATAAACAGGCAAACAGCCAATTCAATGGTGCTATAAAACCTTGAGAAAAACTTGGTAAATGGCTTTTCTAGTAAATCTGGAAGCAACAAGCTGGGGAAAAATTATAATAAAAAACCTTTGGATTTGCAGGATTGTCAGATTGTTGAAGCATGTAGGCATTTGGTGTCCTATACGAAATTTCTTCAGCTTTCTGAACTGCTCCCTTCATGCCCTTAGCAGAGTCAGTCAAAACAAGCTCAGCTCCAAATGCTTTCAAAATAACCCTTCTTTCCAGGCTCATTGAAGCTGGCATTGTCACGATGAGCCTATATCCTTTTGAAGCAGCTATAAATGCAAGGCCAATGCCTGTGTTTCCACTTGTAGACTCCACTAGAATGCTCTACAGAGAGAGGGTGAGGAGGAAGAGAAGTGAAAAAAAAAAAAAAAAAAAAAAAAAAAAAAAAAGAAGAAGAGAGAGAGAGAGAAAAAAGTTGTATCAGAAAGATAGAAAGGATAGATGTCAATCAAGATTAAAGTTGTTATCAACAACATATGACTTAACAGAGTTGCATTCATATAGGATGACCATGCTGCAGAGGCAAAAAGCCATAGTTACACGATTGTTTGTAAATTACAGCACTTCATCACCTCATGAAAAGAATAGAAAAACAACTTAACAAATAAACATATGCCCCAAAAAATGGTGTCAAACAATCAATACTTTTATCTATGAAGCACGGGTGTAGGTACGAGTATGGTGCGGGTACGCAGATATATTTTATTTATTTATTTATAATTATGGTTAAAGAATCCAACCAACAAATTAAAATTAAATATCAAAACTAAAAAGAGAACTACAAAACTAAAAGTCAAATATATTTCAATTCAACAATGCCCACACCAAAGGAAAAACAAATATCGGCTCTAACTCTAGAAAAGGAAAAACAAATATCGGCTCTAACAATGCCAATTCAGTCCATAATGCAAGCAAAGAAAAAACAAAAGAAAGCCCTGTGTATCTAAACTTGACACTTCAAAGTTCACTTCCATCAATTTCATCATTGAATAAAACAGCTTCCATCTTTGGTTCATCAAGTGAAAGATTTGCAATTTCAAGGAAACCATAACCCTCCAATGAATCAAATGCATCTCCCCCAATGTCCCATAACTTGGTCTTTCCTTCTGTGTATAGTCGACTCCTCCTTGATAAGAGGCGAATATTGGCGTGCACAAAAACCAAATCCTCGCAACGTGGTGGTGTCATTTTATTCCTCCTCATAGAATGAATGAAAGAGTAGGTGCTCCAATTCCTTTCACAACATGATGAGGAACATGGTTGGCCAAGTAATTTCACTGCCAAGGATTGGAGCATAGTGCAGAAGAGCCATGTGCCAACCACCAAACCATTGGTTCCATTACTCCTCTATCATATATTGAGTCAGAGTCTCCAAAACTTTTTAAACAACCTGAAAACTTAGCATACTCTGTATTAACAACCCTTCTCTCATCTGAATCAGGAAAGTATCTCTTAAAACACTTGATTCTTATCTCAGAAATTTCAGCATCTTTGTAAGGAGGAACACGAATGGGATTTCATGAAGCCACATCCCACTATAATACCTAGATTTCATAATTAGGAAAAAATAATAAGTAAATCATGCAATGAAAAAAAATGAAAGTATAAACTACAAGTCTAATGTGAATTATACCTTGGATTCAAAGAATGAGCAAGACAATGAAGAGGTGTGCTACTTTTTGTCCACCTTTCCACTAATATTTGATGCACTACAAAGTAAAAGGCCGACTCTTCATTTTCTGACTTCCCTTCACGCATATAGATGGATGCCTCCACCTGTTCAATCATTGAATCCCACATCTCATAAACCAAATGTAGACATGGCTTATCGGTGTCACAAAATCTGAGCATCTCATAAATAGGCAATGTGAATGAGAGTACATATTCAATCTTGTCCCACCAAATATCATTTAACAACTTTTCCTTTACAACAACTGCTTTCCCAACATCATCTTCCCTGTAAGAAGCCCATTTCTCACTTATCACCATTGCTTGGAGACCACGATAACTAAGTTTAAACATTTTTAGCATAACAATTGCAGATGCAAAGCGTGTATCTGCAACAGATAGTAGCTTCAAAGGTACAAACTCATTAAAAATAGCTAATCTCATAGAATGATTCATGATGAAATTTCTCACAAACATTACATCATCAATCACAGTAGTGATCCAATGGCATTCATCATAAGCATATGCAACAACTCCAATTTCCTTCGCAGCACAAATGTTCTTAAGAGCAAGATTAAGAGTGTGCACTACACAAGGTGTCCAAAAGATCTTCGGATAATTACCTTGAATGATTGATCCAGTTGCACTACAAACAGGAGCATTGCCAATAATTATTTGAATCACATTATGAGGACCCACTTCATCAATCACTTCACTAATTAATTTGGCAATATGATACTTGTCCTTGGGCTCACCCTCACAATTAACAGCTCTTATAACCATAGCTCCACCATCAGATGCTACCATAAAATTAATAAGAGGCCTCCTTTGTGCATCAGTCCATCCATTAGATACTATACTCAACCCCTTCTCATCCCATGACTTTTTTAGTTGGTTCCAATAACCTTTCAATATTTGTCCTTTCTTTTTGAAGTAAGGTAGTCCTCAACAAATTATATCCAGGAGGGACATACCCAATAATTTGATTCTCAACATCATATTGAAAAGTACCCACAAAGTATGGATTCCTAGCCAAATGGAAAGGCAAACCAGCTGAATAGAACATACGAGCAATTAAAGAATGTAAATATTCTCTAGCACTTTGCTGGAATGCCTTATCCAAAGGACGACTCCCAATTGCCTTTCTCTTTCTTGGTTCATAACCTTCCATTCTAAATGTTCCAACATCTCCTATGCTACCGTGGCTAGTACTAATTTGAGAAGATGGAGGTGATAAAGGAACATTTTTAGGCTTTGCCATCTTTTTTCGGTTCTCAGCTTCTTGATCTGCCGTTTGAATTTCAAAAAGAAGATCACTCTTGTCCGTCACAATTGCACACACTCTAATTCCATGGCCAGTAAGTGTAAGTTTCTGAATAATTCTATATATTCAACTAGTAAATAATACAAATCTTACAACCAATATTTATAGGAATCCTAACCCTAATCTAGAATAGGAAATACAATCAATCCTATATTCAGAATCAACCTAATTCCATAATTACATAGGTTTCCATAATTACATAATATTCTTACACCTCCGCTCAAACTCAAGGTGTTTTAGCAGAAAATACTGAGAGTTTTGCCAAGAAGAAACTGAAATCGAGCAGTGGTGTGAGTCTTCGTAAAGAAATTAGCAAGTTGCAAAGCCGACGAGACGAAAGGAAGCGAGATGGAGCCAGACTGCAGTGTTGATGGACAAAATGACAATCAATCTTAATGTTCTTCGTTCGCTCATGAAAGACAATGTTATGTGTAATCTAAATAGCACTGCGGTTGTCACAGTAAAGGGAGGTCGGAGAAGACTGAGGGACACCTAACTCAGTCAATAGACAATGAAGCCAAACAATCTCAGCAGTGGCATGAGCTATAGCATGGTACTCAGCCTCGGCAGTGGAACACACAACAACAGTCTGTTTCTTTGCCTTCCAAGAGATCAAGGAATCACCAAGAAACATGCAAAAGCCAGAAGTGGACTTGTGATCAGTGACATCACCAGCCCAATCAGAATCAGCATAAGCCACCAAGCCCAAAGAGGAAGTAGAAGACAACAGTAAATCCTAAAATATAGTGCCCTGGAGATAGCAAAGAATCCAAACCAAAGCAACCCAATGGGTAGAGCGAGGAGCAGAGACAAACTAGCTAACCACATGAACAACATAGGCAAGATCAGGATGAGTAACCGTCAAATAGACTAAGCAACCCACAAGCTCTCGATATAAAGTAGGATCATCCAGAAGAACACCATCAGTAGTGTTGAGCTTTACATTAAGCTCAATGGGGGTATCACAAATCTTAGTGTTAGTAAGACCGGCACGATGAATAACCTCATTGACATACTTGGCTTGAGATAGAAAGTAGCCCTTGGGAGAAAAAGCTACCTCTATACCAAGAAAATACCGCAAGTGGCCTAGATCCTTCATTTCAAAGGTGCGGAAAAGATGCTGCTTGACCTCAGATATAGCAGAAGAGTCAAAACCAGTGATGATCATATCATCCACATACAGTAATAATGCAAAAAATCCAACAGAGGTGTGGAGAAGAAATAAAGCAGAGTCCTAGGCACAAGGGTAAAACCCAAGCTCAGTAACAGTAGTCTGAAAGCGATTATACCATGCACGAGGAGACTACTTCAAGCCATACAGAGCACACTGAAGGTGACAAACCTATCCAAAGAAATGGTGAAGGCCAAGGAAAGGATGCATGTAAACCTCCTCTATGAGATGACCATTAAGAAAAACATTCTTAACATCTATCTGATAAAGAGGCCAAGAACGAATAGTAGCAACAGAGATCAAAACACGAACAGTAGTCATTTTGGCAACAGGAGCAAAGGTTTTCTCATAATCAATACCATACTTCTATTAGAAACCTTTGGTAACCAGACAAGTTTTGTAGCACTTAAAAGAACCATCAAAATGAGTCTTGACTTTGTAGACCCATTTGCAACCAACCAGATTCTTACCAGCAGGCAAAAGAGCTAACTCCCCAGTACGAGTTTTCTGTAAAGTAGACAACTCATCCTCAATAGCTTGAACCCAATGAGGATCCTGACAGGCCTCCTTGTAAGACTAAGGTTCTAAAAAAGAGTGAATAGTAGACAAAAAAGTATGATAGGAAGCAGAAAAACGTGTATTAGACCAACCCGACCTGTTTGAAGAATGATGCGTTTGAGTAGGATAGCGGTGTGCAGCAGAATCAGAGTCGTCAGAAGCAGGAGGATCGGAAGTAGGGGTAGAGACAACTGGTGGAGGAGGAGCCTTACAACGAGAATAGACTAACAATGGAGGAGGAGAAGAAACTTAAGGAGGAGAAGTAGCCAGAGTGAAGCAGGAGGAGAAGATGAAACAAACTCAGGAGGAACTGTAGAGATGTACTCATCAGACGGTACCTCAGAAGGAAATGGGTTAATGTGAACCAAATCCTCTTTGGAAACTGGAGCAGTGACAGGAGGAAGCTGAAAGTAAGGTAGACGTTCGAGAAAAGTAACATGATGGGAGACATAAAGACGGTGGGAAACAGGGTCATAACACCAATAGCCTTTCTGAGTAGAACTATAACCCAAAAAGACACATAGGATAGACCAGGCACTAAGTTTGGTTCGATCTTTATGGGAAAGAAGGACAAAACAAGCAGACCCAAACACACGAAGGAGAGAGTAATTGGGAAGTTGAGAGAACAGAGCCTCATAAGGAGACTGACTAGAAAGAAGGGGAGTAGGCATACGGTTAAGAAGAAAAGCAGCTATAAGAACTGTTTCTTCCTAAAATAGAGTTGGGATTAAGGCAGAGAGAATAAGAGACCTAATTGTCTCAAGGAGATAACGGCGTTTACGCTCGGCTCGTCCATTTTGGGCAGGTGTATCAGTATAGGAAGTTTAGAGAATGGTACCCAAATTGGCCAAATACTCACAAAACTCATTTTTAAAATATTATCCACCCAAGTCAAACCGTAACACTTTAATTGTAAACCCAAACTGAGTAGTGATCATAGACTAAAAGGTACGGTATATCTGATAGAAGTTGGACTTATGAGTCATAAGATAAACCCAAGTGTAACGAGTGCAGTCATCAACAAATGGCACATAGTATGCAGAACCCCTTTGGTGAGAACAGGAGAAGGACCCCAAAAATCAGTATGAACTAAAGAAAACGGTATATCAGATATGGATGTACTTTTACGAAAAGGTAAGACTGTTATTTTGGCAAGTTTACACCCCCGATATGCAGAAACTTTACCCAATATACCAGACTAAGCTAAAGATCGTAAGCGATCAGCAGACAAATGCCCTAATTTAAAATGCCACAAGTAGAAATGATTAGATAAAGAATCTAACTGAAAAGAGGAAAAGGCAGTCGGAGAGGGTGTCATAGGCAGATGTAAGCTCTCTACCACTTAGAGGTCTCCAATTCTACAGCCAGTCCCAATCTGCTGCTTGGACATCCGATCCTGTACAAAACAGATAGAAGAAGAAAGAAAACATCAAAATTGGAGGAATCAAACTGACTGATAGATAATAAACTGACAAATAACTGAGGAACATAAAAGACAGATGGAATAGAGATAGCAGATATAGCAGATGATAAGACAAACCTAACAGATATAACGGACATACTAGACCCATTAGCAGCAGTAACAATAATAGAAGAGGGAGGAGGAGTACAATTTTGAAGTAAGAAGAGATGGGGAGTCATATGATGAGAAGCAGCAGAGTCAAAAATCCAGATAGACGAAGAGATACCTGAAGAAGACCCAAGCAAACCTAAATGAAGAAAGGGAACAATGGAGGCAGACAGGGAGGGCTGGGAGATAGACAATGTATGCTGAAACTGATTAATTTGAGCTCTCAAGGAAGCCAAGTCAGGATCAGGAGTTGGAGCAAATGTAATAGAACTGACGGAAGCCTGAAAATTACTCAGAGAAGAAGGGCAAAACTGGGTCCGAGATTGCTGAGAAGACGAGCTAGATAGACATCCCTTATTGGGACAATGATATTTCCAATGGCCTTTCTGATGACAGAAGGCACACTCATCCGAAGCCACAAACATCAACAATCAGCGAAGACGAATCAAAGAATAGTTAGAGAGCTTTGCAATGCGAACCAAAAGGGTTAGTCACTTAGATGACCAGTCGTGTAGCAGAAGGCGAGTCACGAGAGAACCAGTCTAAGTGTAATAATCAATGAAATTTTGGGGTCAAAGTGTAAATACCAGCAAATCAGTTCTATGTATCAATACCAGAGCTGATTGCGATCCAGAGAAGCTTCAAAAGACAGGATGGAGTTGCGATGGCTGAAGACGATTACGAGGTGAATCACGATGGCTAAAGACAACGATTGAAGATGATCGCGACCTGAATCAGAAGCATAACGATAATGTTTGTGAACCAGAGGGATTGAGTTCGTGAACCAGAAGTACCCAAACTGAGTCGCGACAAAGCAGGGGGCTAAAGCTGATCGCGAGTTGCTGATGATGACTGAAGATGATCGCGACCCATGAACCAGAGAGACCAATGAACCCTAAGTCGCAACTGTGAAGAAGACCAGAGAACAGAGAGGCCTTCGCAACTTCGGAGAAGCCTAGAGAAGTCTTCGAACAACAAGCATGAATGCAGATGAAGGACTTCGAATGATCAAGGCCAGACCTAGGGTTTCGGATGTGGCTCTGATGCCATGTAAGTTTCTGAATAATTCTGTATATTCAACTGGTTAATAATACAAAGCTTACAACCAATATTTATAGGAATCCTAATCCTAATCTAGAATAGGAAATACAATCAATCCTATATTCATAATCAACCTAATTCCATAATTACATAGATTTCCATACTTACATAATATTCTTACAGTAAGTAGCAACAAATGGGCTCTAACTCTAGAATATGACCCTTGGTACTTAATGTTACAAAAATTACACTTAAATTTTGTATTACCACTTCCTCCTTTCCCATTTTTGACTAATTTTGTAACATAGCCCCAAAGAGGAGCATTTTTATCTCTAGATTGATCAATGGAAGGAGCAAAAGAAGCACTTGCAAATGAACCTGAACTGCTTGATGAACTTATTTTTCCTATAATATAAAACCATTAAGCATTAAAAATAATATTTGTGAAAACTCTCACTTTGACATGTTATGATGTTATGCACTGTGATCATAATTTATTTTTAAAATCTTTCTTTTGGCTCATCAATTTGCTATTTTTATAGGGTGAGACCAAAGAAATAACAAGAGACCAAAGAAAGATTTCATAAACACAATAGATAAAGAACAACAATAACTAACATTACACAAAAAAGCACTTGAATTAAATCAAAATCAAGATAATACTCTACTACATTTACACAGATCAATAATCTCGTCCATCAAAATTGCTGATCTACAGGGGCACCAAAAAAAAAAAGAAGAGAGAGATGAAGAGCACTCGTCGGAGGGAAGAGACGAAGAAAGGAACAAAGAAGACGAAGACCAATTGCTGATCTGCAGAAAAAAACGAAGGAACAAAGATGAAGAAACGAAGACAAAGACGAAGAAACGAAAAAGAAGAAGAAGACGAAGACGAAGAAAAAGATGAAGAACACTCACTGGAGGGCTTCGTCTCATTGCATCGTCATCGTCGGAGGGCTTCGAAGTGAAGAGATGTTGCTGTTGCTGAAGAAGAAGACGAAGAAGACTACGCCGTTCTCTTTGCTATTGCTGAAGTGAAGAGATGTAAGAAGGGACAAAACCTAGATGTATATTCTTAATATTACAAAACAACACTGTACTTTTTATTTTTTTTAATAAAGAACATAAATAAATTGCACTGATACCCCTAATTCTCTTACAAATTTGATTTTTTGGGCATACCCGAAACGTACCATACGCGTACCCATGCCATACCCATGACATACCCGATTGAACCAAACGTACCAGACCCCCTTTTGCTGTACCCGGTGCGTGTATAGCCATACAGGTATGCGTACTCGCACCCGGTAAGTACCTGGTACTCGTATGACACTATTTTTGGAGTACCCGTGCTTCATAGACTTTTATAGATTGTATGATGCAACCATTAATTTTTTTTTGGGTATTTATGGCTTTGTTACCTTTCCTGGTGTTATGAGACCTCTTTGCTCAGCATCAGTTATCATACTGTATCCTATCCTGAAACCCAAAAAAAAAAAAAAAAAAAAAAAAAAAGACTAATCAACATATCATCAAATCTCATAAAAACTCAAGTAGGAAATTACTTACCAAAAAAAAAAAAAATGGAAATCATTCAGAATTAAATTGATATGGGTGGCTTGGCCAACAGGTAAAGGCTTCTTGTTAGTGTTGTGCTAACTTGGGTTCGAGTCATGAAAACAATTTCTATAGAATGGGAGTACGGGTCCATATATCTGGCCCTTCTCAGACTCCACTTTAGCAGGGTCTTTGTGCACTTTTTTATTTATAATTAGATGGAATCAACAATATATGCTCCTTATGTGAGAATATTATTGTAATTATGGAAATATATCAATTAAGTTGATTGTATATTTTAGATTGATTGTGTGAATATTAGATTGATTGCATTGATTGTTAGGGGTGCAATTCGGGCGGGTTTGGTCGGATTGGGAGGTTGTCCAAGCCCAACCCAACCCAAGTTGTGCTGAGACATGCCCAGGCCCAAATTGTAATCCAAGATTGTCTGTCGAAGCCCGACTCGAGTTAAACCCAAATTGCCCGAGTTGCCTGAATTACCCGAGTTGTAAATGATTTTTTTTTTTGTTTGTTGCATCTACACATTATTAAATTATTAAAATTTGACTCTATTTACAATTTTTTTAAATAGAAAATCATTAATACCATCAAAACAAATAATTTATATAATGTAAGAGAGATGCCGCTATAGTAGTCTTCACAATTTATGAGTGAAAATAAAAAAAAGTAAGATTTTATGTTATTTGTATATATAATATATATTCAATATGATTTAATAATTTAAATTACTTAATATTATGTAATGGCTAATAATTTATAAGTATATTTAATATTTTTATATATCTATATATGTACAATTCAGGCTTCGGGTTACTCAGGTTGTTTGACGTTTTTTCCCAAACTCGTCCAAATTTAATTCGGGCTTTTGAATTTTTGCCCAATCCCATACCAAATTTAAAAAAATCTTATCCAAGTTCTAAAAAAATTCAGGTTGGGTTCGGGTTGCTCGAGTTGAGCCCACCTAAGTTGCACCCCTATTGATTGTATATGGTTATTATTTTCTATTTTAGATTAGGTTTATGATTGCTATATATATCGGTTGTAATCTTTGTATTAGCAACAATTCAATATACTGAAATCATTCAGAAAGCTTACATGGTATCGGAGCTAAGTGCGAAACCCTAACAGAAATCGCAACTGGTTCTCTAGTTCTGAGCTTTAGTTCGATCGAGCCCTTTGATTCTGTTCTCTGGCTTCGATTGAGTTCATCCTCTGTTTCATCAAGTTTGTGTGACCCATCTGAGTTTGAATCAAGACCTATCAATTGCAACCGAACCCCTTTGAGTTTGGTTCGCGTCTAATTTGTGGTTGTCGACTATCGTCAATAGTGATTTTCTAGTTCAAAGTCTTTGGGTGATCTTTGGAGTCACGTTTCTCATCGGAATCTCGACTTTGGTTGTCGCTGGAGTTCCTACATCAGTTCAGTTGCCTCTCTGGTTCAACTTCATCGTGATCTCTCTCTCTTACTGTTTCTTGCATGTTCGCAACCTGGTTCCCTATCGCGACATCTCTCTCTCTCTTGTTCTCTCCGAGTCGTGACCTCGTTCTAACTCTCACTTGTTCTGAGTCATGATCTGGGTGTTCCTCTTTGACTGTGACGTGGACCGACTACAAGTCTCTCTTATTCTTGTTTGGACCAAACAAGTTTTTAGATTATTACACTTTGATCACAACCATACAAATCTTGTGTTTATCTGGTTCTGGCATTCTTTCGGTATATTACTTTTTAACCCATCAGTTTGTGGTTTATTACACTTCAATCCATCAATTCTCTTTTCGGTCTCTGGTTCATACCAATGTCAAAGGCTAAGCCCTTGTTTAGCATCCCCTAAAAAAGATAAAAAGCCAAAAATTCAATGAAAAAGAAAAAAAGTTGACACTATTCACAATGTTTGGGGGGGAAAAAAAGGTTGAATACTTAGAGGGCAAAAAGATAGAATTGCCCTTGCTTTTGTCCTGTCATCTGAGAATACACAAATTTAAAGGATACCTAGGGCTTACAGAGGGTCTCACCTCAACATCTCCTCTCCTTCTCCCCTCAACATCTCCTCTCCTTCTCCAAACAGAAGCGTAAACACTCCTTGTTGAAGCCACTGACAATCAGTCACGCTCACATCGTCGACTGCCGGAGCTCCGCCACAACCTTCCCTTACAGCATCACCAAAGGCATCCCAACACACAAGCACGTCACACCAGTAGCAGATGGGAAGGACCAGCCGGCATCCAGATCTGCACCACCGTTGACCAGATCTTCACCATTTTACCCCCCAAAGTAGAAGGTAACATCTCTTCTAGTCCAATATTTTTGCCTATGTCAAAAATTCGTACGTTTCCCCTTTTTGCACAAATTGTTTACCTTTTTTTTGGCTTCCATACTTCAGATATTCACATTGGCATATGAATTTGTGTTTGCATTTTTATGGGTTTTTCAAATTTTTGGCCAACTTGGTATTGTCTCTGTTTTTATGTCTCTCCTTTTTTCCCCTGGTTTGTTGGTTTGTTGGTTTGTTGGATCAAATTTATCTTATATCTAACTAATATGTTTATGGTTTATAGTTTCACATGACTCTGAAGAAACAATGAAGAAATAAACTTCATTTTGTAGTTGAGGATCTTGTTTTCGAGTAGGATTATGTTTATATACCATATTCACATTTGAGAAGGTGTTTTTTTTTTTTTTTGGTGGTATTTTACATTTACAGCATAAGGGTAGTACTTTCTTTTGAAAAGAAAAAAAAAATCTTCAATTCGATACGAAAAATTACTAATTCAAAGAAAAAGAAAGTAAAGATTTGCATTTTGATAGTGCTTCTTCAAAACAAGTAACAAACAACATTAGCAATGGATTTCTTTTTAACCAATCTTGAATACAAAACATGCTCAAGTTAAAATAAAAATTATAGATTAGGGTCTTGCTTTCATTGCTAAATTTTATTGCTTTTTTGATATAGTGATAGGGTCTTACTTCTTGGTGTTAAGCTATGGTATGCTACTATGTGCCTGCAAAATCATTGATTGAAGACCTGGTGTGTCCCATTTTGTAGATAAAGTGTATTCAATGCACTGGATTAGATTAATTAAGTCATTAATTTATATAACATCTCAGAAATGAGGAAAACCGTTGTCACTTTCCTCTGAAATGCATGCAAATTGGACACCAATGCATTCAAGGACGCTAGTATCCAACTGATAGATGGTCACAAAGGATTTAGCCTTTGTTAATTATAGATATTAAGTGACATATTTTTAGATACATGAAAATTTATCTTTTATAGATGTTAATTACATTTGTAAAATTTTGAACATTTTAGCCAAAAATATTATCTTATGCATCAATTGTTATGGCTTGAGGGCCCAAAAGAATCATGGGCAAACAGAAAACTTATAAATACATGAAGAGGGAAAATGACATGAAGAAAGGTGCATTGAGTGGTACCTCTTCCTGCTTGCTTTATTTTGTTAATTACAAAAAGGGTTGTGCTCTAGTTAAATCACATGATAACATGCTTTTTAATGGTTACTAATTGCGATTTACCTTTAAAATGTATTGGAACAAATGTGGAAAAGTATAAAACTGTTATTCACAATAAAATGCACATTTCATTTTACAAAGTCAAATATGTTGATACTAGACAGGATGAAAAGTAATGAGACTATTATTTTTTAAAATATGATTACAAATTACTTATAAGAAATTCAACCAAACAAACAGTATTGAATGAAATATACATGGAAATCCACAAATGTCTAAAAGCATTTTGGCCACTAAAAGAACCAAACAGATCATAATGCATTTGTGAGGTTAATGACACATGATGTTTAATGAATGAAACAACAAGGTAGGTATGAGGGGAGGCATTCATGCATGGTTTCCCTAATTTTGCACACATACACTAGGTCCACACAATGCCAAATTTTTTGAAAGATAACTTGTAAACCGTGTCCATGTTATGCCATTTCATTGTTTTCATCTATGGTTGTTCCCAAAACAGACCATGGCTTTGTTTGTGTCCTCTGCCACGTCTACGCATATAACACCCTTTTGTGCATGTGGCTTTGGCCCGTGTGTTGTGAAGATTTAAATATTTTCTAGAAATCCGAGTCGTGCCTACTACCAATGCCCTCATGCAATGGTGAGTATTCACATGAAAGTGCATTTACATGTTTTCAAACTACACTAATACATGTGTCTATTCAGCCATGTCGTTCTTGGATTGGATGGAGTGATGAATATGGCCAAACATCCGTGCCTGACACTCAAAACTCAGTTATGGACATGGTCTTCTAGTTAAAGGCTGACATCCTCAACCTGCAGCACTCTTTGCATCTCCTTCAAATTGTGACGTTTGTCTTGTGTGTTGTTGTTGTAATGTTGTTGTTTCATAGTTGATTTGCTTCGGTTGGTAGGTTGTATGTAGTTGCCAAGTGGTACTTTTGTTTTTTTTCGAACTGACTACAATGTCTAGTATGTCATTTTCTTACGGTTAAGCAATATTCTATTGTTCAGTCTTCTGTTATATGCTTGTTCATCATGTTGCCATGTTATGTATATGCATGTTACGTTTAACATGATTTTTTGCACCTATACCACAATTATTGCTGCACTGTAGTAGCCACATGGACCACTCCCGAATGCAGTCTATGCCTTCAAAAAATTTGCATAAGCAGGGTAGTAGTTAGCCTCAGCCTCAGCCACAGCCACAGTCTGCATTTGTGCACAAAGCAGTTTGGGACTCCGACGCAGTGCGACTTTTCTTGAAACTTGTTGTGAAGGAGTTGGAATCCAGTTACAAGGGCAGTGTCCATACGATGACAATGCACGGCTACAAGGCTGTGTCCAAGGCTTTCCAGGGGCATACGAATAGGTCCCATAAGGTGAAGCAACTGCAAAACAGGTACAA